TCTCTTTGGGGTGATGAAATGTAAAATTCAGACTGAATTTCACTTTTAGAATTTTTTTTTACATTTGTTCTTTGCATTTCGATTGACCATTATTATAATATTCAAATTTCAATTTAATGGGGAACAGTTAATGACCACCTTTCTTTTAAACTCAGTTTATCACCAATTTAATGTCCTATTTTTGTAACACAGTTGACATTTCTATAGGAACCAACTACTGTAAACCAACTTATTTTATGGACATTTTATTTGTGTTGCGCCTATTATATTTCGCAGCTGATATTTTTTTTGCGTAGCAACATTTCTTGCATATTTCGCAGCTGATATTTTTTTTCGCGTATCGCCATTTCTATCATATTTCACATAGGAATTTTTCCACGTATATATAAAAAAGAAGATGTGGTATGATTGCCAATGAGACAACTCTCCACAAGAGACTAAATGACACAGAAATTAACAGCTATACATTGTAGGTAACTGTACGGCCCTCAACGATGAGCAAAGCCCCAACCACATAGTCAGTTTTAAAATGCCCAGAAATCACATATGTAAAACAATTCAAACGAAAAAACTGCAACCATATAGACATTTCTATCATAATTTGCAGCTGATATTTTTTTTCGCGTATCGCCATTTCTCTCATATTTCACATAGGATTTTTTCTGCTTACATGTATATATAAAAAAAGATGTGGTGGTATGATTGCCAATGAGACAACTCTCCACAAGAGACTAAATGACAGTTATTAACAGCTATACATTGTAGGTAAATGTACGGCCCTCAACGATGAGCAAAGCCCCAACCACATAGTCAGTTTTAAAATGCCCAGAAATCACATATTTAAAACAATTCAAACGAAAAAACTAACGACCATATAGACATTTCTATCATAATTTGCAGCTGATATTTTTTTTCGCGTATCGCCATTTCTCTCATATTTCACATAGGATTTTTTCTGCTTACATGTATATATAAAAAAAGAAGATGTGGTATGATTGCCAATGAGACAACTCTCCACAAGAGACTAAATGACACAGAAATTAACAGCTATAGATAACTGTACCGCCCTCACCGATGAGCTAAGCCCAAACCACATAGTCAGCTATAAAAGGCCCAGAAATCACAAATGTAAAACAATTCAAACGAAAAGACTTAACGACCATATAGCCATTTTTAGCATATTTCACATGGATATGTTTCGTGATTATCTAATTTTTCGGGTTATTTCATACAACAGACAATTCTATTTTGAAATTCTCGTGATTTATATTCGGCTTAATTACTTCTTTTCTTTGAAGTCTATTAAATAAATTGTCCGAAAAATGAGTTGGTTCACAGTATGCTCCTCTTCTAGTCTTGGTCATCCCCCTGTAGCAGTCTCAATAATCCTTTATTCCCCGCCCCAGCTGAGTCAAAGGTAGAGACTTCAAAACTGGTATTGCTATATTCCTTCACTACCCAAAAAAACCTAAAGAGAAAGAGCAAAGACAAGTTGGCTTTGAAGAAAAACTAGATCTTTTTCTTAAGGAGTCTTTATCTTATCTAGTAATTGTTCTAAAAATGACTCAGCATATGTATAAAAGGATATGTGGGATAATTAACGTCAATGAGACAGCATTTACTTACCAACAACAAAATATGGCCAAGACACATAATAATTAGGTTAACATACTGTCTTCAACAATAAAATGCTGTTCTAGAATACAAATATGGAGATGTGATATGATTGCCAATAGACAAACTCTTCATCAAGACCAAATGACAGAGATTGATACAGGGTCTTTAACAATGGAGCAATGACCTAATATTTCATATTCAAATCACATTTACATATAAACATCAGATGTGGTATGATTGCCATTGGGACAAGTATGCTGCTGGTTTTAGATATCCACCCTATCTTTCATTTTTACATATGAAGTAGACTTGATTCAGGGGCTTCTTGGGGAAGACAGAGGAACTTGCATTGTACTTTTACTTCACATTTCCCAATTTTCGGCATTTCTTTTTTCAAAGTTTGTTGACATTATTGATTCGATCCTTCTGTAATTCCTACATAGCTAGTTATAAGGAGCATCCGATACAGGAACTGGCTCATATCTTGACCTTAGCCTGGGGGTTGTTGGTGAGGTCAGTTGGGAACTATAAAAAATTACAACAAAGGAGACTTCTTTTTTATGATTGTGAACCTTCTATTACTATGTAGCAGGAATCCAGGTATACTTGTATATATGGATTTTGTATCACCATGTTGATTATTCCACTCTTTGCATGTGCTGTAGGACATTTTTCCTTAATAAAATGTTTGCTGTTTTTAAAGGATATCACTGAACCAAGGGTTCTTAATGATAAAAGTTGTAAACATAATTACAAGAACATGTGGTATTATTGCCAATGAGACAACTCTCCACAAAAAAGTGGGATTATTTTAAATATTATTTATTCACCCGCTGTACATTCATTCCAAAATTAGTCTCCATTCTCCTAACTTTAGCTTGACTGGACCTTATGTTATAAAATGTGTACACAACGATTAATTTACTACAAAACGTAGATCAAGTTTAAATTTGGTTGTCGTCACTTTTACCTTTGTAAATGTGAAATTTTTCAACAATGAGCATAGTCGGCTATGAAAGGCCCTGAAATTACAGCTATAAAACAATTAAAACGAGAAAGCAAAATAATGAACGAAAAACAAACATGATATATAGCATGAACAAATGACAATTGCTAAATTGCAGGCTCCTGACGTGGGACAGCCATATACAGAACAAGGGGTTTGGGGTTAAACTAGTTTGAAGGTTCCAGTACCCTCCCTCCCCTTACCTGAGACAGTTGTGTAACAGTACAACATAACAAACTATTAAAATCAGTTGAAGATGGCTAATAACTCATCAGATTGATACTAAGCAGAAATACATCTAACAAATACACAAAACTGACCGGAAGGAGAAGGGTACTTATACATTCTCGCAACAACAAAAAAACACTACCGTGTACAGATCTGATAAAGAGTACAAGCTTTAAGTAGTTGCTGACAGTTAGTTCAAAGACAATAAAAACTAATAAAAAAATTATGCATCTAAGACTAAAATATCAATCAGTACACATCCACACCAATGGATTTAGTGTAAAGACATCATTAACAGTTGGAGAAAAGCATGACCTTGTTGTGCATGTTCATTTCTTTGTATGATTTATTCATGATTAACCAAAATTCTAGAAATAAAAATTATTCAAATATTAAATCCTTATAATGGTGTATGATAGATACAAATATAAGTTTGTAAATTATTTAGAAATTAAACAGCATCTTTTTTTAATTTCTGTATTTTACTGATAAATAGACTCTCTCTATTCTTAAATTCTATATTACACTGACAGCAGCTATAGCAGGCAATACATTTAAGGTTCCACAAAACCCCTTAAGAAATTTTTAATCCTTGACATGAAATCAAACCGACTAATTCAAATGGTACTATACCATTGCATGTTTTTGTCTGTATTTATGTGTACATCATGTGATATGATCATCTGCAGACTTTTTTTTTTATATTTATGTGTACATCATTTGATATGAACATCTGCAGACTTTTTTTTTTATATTTATGTGTACATCATTTGATATGAACATCTGCAGACTTCAGAGGCCATATTCTCAAGATTTAATTTGATGGTGTCTAGTCTAAAATTTATACAAATGTTTTACTTTTTTGGGGAATCAAGGCATTGTTCATTGTTTCTTTTTGACTTTTTATACGCCCGTTTAAGGGACATATTATGGTATACCATTGACCGTCTGTCCGTCCGTCTGTCTGTCTGTCCGTCCATCGTCGACATTAATTCAAAAACACTTTCACCAAATTGCATGAAACTTTGGTGAATTGTTTATATCTATTGATGTGAGCACTCAGTCAACAAAACTGTTATTTAAGGAAATATGAATATTTTTTAACCAAAAATGATCAGAAAACATTTGAGAAATTCATTTTGAAATTATTTCAACAAAATCTCTCCAGACAGTGATATTTGAGGCTAAAGTATTGGAAAGTCAAGAACCCAATACAATCATTTAAGAACTTTAAACCAAAAATATAGTAAAACCTTGACCGAGATTCAGAACTATGCACTACGGTATAGTGTCTATGTGTAGGGACAGTGCCACTCTGCATGTTAAAGAACCCTTGCCACAAGTCTTTGAGGGGTCAGTAGGTGGCCTGTTGCAAGGCTTAATTTCTCCCCAACATATCCTCCTCTCAGTTGGCAGTCAAAATTTCCCCTACCTTCATCATCGGCCCACTTTATAGAACCTACAAATTGATTTGTTATGAAATGAAGAGATGCGAGACAACTATCCTACAGAGACCAAATGAAGTTGCACTTTACTGTATGAACTTCAACAATGAGAAAATCCACTAACATTAAAATTTTGCAATATTCTGAATTAGAATGCATTTGCCTCTAACCTTTAACATCTGATATTTTTATTATCTAGAGCTCTGTAAAAAAATATAAAAAAAGAAAATACCAAAAAATAATATGAAAGCAAAATTGTTTGTAAACAGAGTTCTAGATAATAAACATTGAGGGTGGTGTAAAAGGTGGGATTATTGTAACATTTTTTATGACCCCCGCCTTAGTCTTCTAACCCCCAAGGGTGACTGGGGAATAGAAGTATGGTCACCATTGGTCTTCCTCCGACCGGCAGTAAAACCCTTGCTAAAGTGGGGCGTCCGTTGCAGTCTAAATTTCTCCGACCTTAATCCAGGAAGCCCCTATTACAGAACCTACCTATTGTATTTATTGTTAACTTGTTCTCGTCCTGAATATGTATGAAACATTTGCCACTGGACGTTAAGCAACCAACAATCAAAAACAATCAATTAAAATCTTCTAAAGTTATCATGATTAAAACAAACAAAAATTGGAATGGCAATTTAAAAAGTATAGTTTCTATGTGTAGGGACAGTGCCACTCTGCACATTAAAAAACCCTTGCCACAAGTCTTTGAGGGGTCAGTAGGTGGCCTGTTGCAAGGCTTAATTTCTGTCCAACATATCCTCCTCTCAGTTGGCAGTCAAAATTTCCCTTACCTTCATCATAGGCCCACTTTATAGAACCTACAAATTGATTTGTTATGAAATGAAGAGATGCGAGACAACTATCCTAAAGAGACCAAATGAAGTTGCATGTTACTGTATGGACTTCAACAATGAGAAAATCATCCAACATTAAAATTTTGCAATATTCTGAATTAGAATGACTTTGTTAATACCTCTAACCTTTAACATCCGATAGTTTTATTATCTAGAGCTCTGTAAAAAAATATACAAAAAAAAATATAAAAAATGAAAATACCAAAAAATAATATGATAACAAAATTGTTTGTAAACAGAGTTCTAGATAATAAACATTGAGGGTGGTGTAAAAGGTGGGATTATTGTAATATTTTTATGACCCCCGCCTTAAAGTCTTCTAAAGTTATCATTTTTAAAACAAACAAAATTGGAATGGCAATTTAAAAAGTATATAGTTCCTATGTAGGGACAGTGCCACTCTGCACGTTAAAGAACCCTTGCCACAAGTCTTTGAGGGGTCAGTAGGTGGCCTGTTGCAAGGCTTAATTTCTGTCCCAACATATCCTCCTCTCAGTTGGCAGTAAAAATTTCCCTTACCTTCATCATAGGCCCACTTTATAGAACCTACAAATTGATTTGTTATGAAATGAAGAGATGTGAGACATTACTATCCTACAGAGACCAAATGATGTTGATGTAAAATAGGTTACTGTATGGACTTCAACAATGAGAAAATCAACTTACATTAAAATTTTGCAATATTCTGAATTAGAATGACTTTGATAATACCTCTAACCTTTAATATCCGATATTTTTATTATCTAGAGCTCTGTAAAAAAATATAAAAAAAAAATATATAAAATGAAAATACCCAAAAATTATATAAAAACAAAATTGTTTGTAAACAGAGTTCTAGATAATAAACATTGAGGGTGGTGTAAAAGGTGGGATTATTGTAATATTTTTTATGACCCCCGCTTTAAAGTCTTCTAAAGTTATCATGTTTAAAACAAACAAAAATTGGAATGGCAATTTAAAAAGTATAGTTCCTATGTGTAGGGACAGTGCCACTCTGCACGTTAAAGAACCCTTGCCACAAGTCTTTGAGGGGTCAGTAGGTGGCCTGTTGCAAGGCTTAATTTCTGTCCAACATATCCTCCTCTCAGTTGGCAGTCAAAATTTCCCTTACCTTCATCATCGGCCCACTTTATAGAACCTACACATTGATTTGTTATGAAAAGAAGAGATTTGAGACAACTATCCTACAGAGACCAAATGAAGTTGCATGTTACTGTATGGACTTCAACAATGAGAAAATCAACTGACATTAAAATTTTGCAATATTCTGAATTAGAATGACTTTGTTAATACCTCTAACCTTTAACATCTGATATTTTTATTATCTAGAGCTCTGTAAAAAAAAAATATCAAAAAAAATATAAAAAATGAAAATACCAAAAAATAATATATGAAAACAAAATTGTTTGTAAACAGAGTTCTAGATAATAAACATTGAGGGTGGTGTAAAAGGTGGGATTATTGTAATATTTTTTATGACCCCCACCTTAAAGTCTTCTAAAGTTATAATTTTTAAAACAAACAAAAATTGGAATGGCAATTTAAAAAGTATATAGTTTCTATGTGTAGGGACAGTGCCACTCTGCACGTTAAAGAACCCTTGCCACAAGTCTTTGAGGCCTGGTCAGTAGGTGGCCTGTTGCAAGGCTTAATTTCTGTCCAACATATCCTCCTCTCAGTTGGCAGTCAAAATTTCCCTTACCTTCATCATAGGCCCACTTTATAGAACCTACAAATTGATTTGTTATGAAATGAAGAGATGTGAGACATTACTATCCTACAGAGACCAAATGATGTTGATGTAAAATAGGTTACTGTATGGACTTCAACAATGAGAAAATCATCCAACATTAAAATTTTGCAATATTCTGAATTAAATTGACTTTGTTAATACCTCTAACCTTTATCATCCGATATTGTTATTATCTAGAGCTCTGTAAAAAAATAGAAAAAAATGAAAATACCAAAAAATATGTACAAAAAAAATATCAAAAATGAAAATACCAAAAAATATATACAAAAAAAATATCAAAAATGAAAATACCAAAAAATAATATGAAAACAAAATTGTTTGTAAAGAGAGTTCTAGATAATAAACATTGAGGGTGGTGTAAAAGGTGGGATTATTGTAATATTTTTTATGACCCCCGCCTTAAAGTCTTCTAAAGTTATCATTTTTAAAACAAACAAAAATTGGAATGGCAATTTAAAAAGTATATAGTTCCTATGTGTAGGGACAGTGCCACTCTGCATGTTAAAGAACCCTTGCCACAAGTCTTTGAGGGGTCAGTAGGTGGCCTGTTGCAAGGCTTAATTTCTGTCCAACATATCCTCCTCTCAGTTGGCAGTCAAAATTTCCCTTACCTTCATCATAGGCCCACTTTATAGAACCTACAAATTGATTTGTTATGAAATGAAGAGATGCGAGACATTACTATCCTACAGAGACCAAATGATGTTGATGTAAAATAGGTTACTGTATGGACTTCAACAATGAGAAAATCATCCAACATTAAAATTTTGCAATATTCTGAATTAGAATGACTTTGTTAATACCTCTAACCTTTAACATCCGATATTTTTATTATCTAGAGCTCTGTAAAAAAAATATAAAAAATGAAAATACCAAAAAATAATATGAAAACAAAATTGTTTGTAAACAGAGTTCTAGATAATAAACATTGAGGGTGGTGTAAAAGGTGGGATTATTGTAATATTTTTTATGACCCCCGCCTTAAAGTCTTCTAAAGTTATCATTTTTAAAACAAACAAAAATTGGAATGGCAATTTAAAAAGTATATAGTTCCTATGTGTAGGGACAGTGCCACTCTGCACGTTAAAGAACCCTTGCCACAAGTCTTTGAGGGGTCAGTAGGTGGTCTGTTGCAAGGCTTAATTTCTGTCCAACATATCCTCCTCTCAGTTGGCAGTCAAAATTTCCCTTACCTTCATCATAGGCCCACTTTATAGAACCTACAAATTGATTTGTTATGAAATGAAGAGATGCGAGACAACTATCCTACGGAGACCAAATGAAGTTGCATGTTACTGTATGGACTTCAACAATGAGAAAATCAACTAACATTAAAATTTTGCAATATTCTGAATTAGAATGACTTTTTTAATACCTCTAACCTTTAACATCTGATATTTTTATTATCTAGAGCTCTGTAAAAAAAAATATAAAAAAAAATATAAAAAAAGAAAATACCAAAAAAAAAAATATATATGAAAACAAAATCGTTTGTAAACAGAGTTCTAGATAATAAACATTGAGGGTGGTGTAAAAGTGGGATTATTGTAATATTTTTTATGACCCCCGCCTTAAAGTCTTCTTAAGTTATAATTTTTAAAACAATCAAAAATTGGAATGGCAATTTAAAAAGTATATAGTTCCTATGTAGGGACAGTGCCACTCTGCACGTTAAAGAACCCTTGCCACAAGTCTTTGAGGGGTCAGTAGGTGGCCTGTTGCAAGGCTTAATTTCTGTCCAAACATATCCTCCTCTCAGTTGGCAGTCAAAATTTCCCTTACCTTCGTCATAGGCCCACTTTATAGAACCTACACATTGATTTGTTATGAAATGAAAAGATGCAAGACAATTAACCTACAGAGACCAAATGAAGTTGCATGATACTGTATGGACTTCAACAATGAGAAAATCAACCAACATTAAAATTTTGCAATATTCTGAATTAGAATGACTTTGATAATACCTCTAACCTTTAATATCCGATATTTTTATTATCTAGAGCTCTGTAAAAAAATATAAATAAAAAATATATAAAATGAAAATACCCAAAAATTATATGAAAACAAAATTGTTTGTAAACAGAGTTCTAGATAATAAACATTGAGGGTGGTGTAAAAGGTGGGATTATTGTAATATTTTTTATGACCCCCGCTTTAAAGTCTTCTAAAGTTATCATGTTTAAAACAAACAAAAATTGGAATGGCAATTTAAAAAGTATAGTTCCTATGTGTAGGGACAGTGCCACTCTGCACGTTAAAGAACCCTTGCCACAAGTCTTTGAGGGGTCAGTAGGTGGCCTGTTGCAAGGCTCAATTTCTGTCCAACATATCCTCCTCTCAGTTGGCAGTCAAAATTTCCCTTACCTTCATCATAGGCCCACTTTATAGAACCTACAAATTGATTTGTTATGAAATGAAGAGATGCGAGACATCTATCCTATAGAGACCAAATGATGATTTAAAATAGGTTACTGTATGGACTTCAACAATGAGAAAATCAACTAACATTAAAATTTTGCAATATTCTGAATTAGAATGACTTTGTTAATACCTCTAACCTTTAACATCCGATATTTTTATTATCTAGAGCTCTGTAAAAAAAATATTAAAAAAATATATAAAAAATGAAAATACCAAAAAATAATATGATAACAAAATTGTTTGTAAACAGAGTTCTAGATAATAAACATTGAGGGTGGTGTAAAAGGTGGGATTATTGTAATATTTTTTATGACCCCCGCTTTAAAGTCTTCTAAAGTTATCATGTTTAAAACAAACAAAAATTGGAATGGCAATTTAAAAAGTATATAGTTCCTATGTGTAGGGACAGTGCCACTCTGCACATTAAAGAACCCTTGCCACAAGTCTTTGAGGGGTCAGTAGGTGGCCTGTTGCAAGGCTCAATTTCTGTCCAACATATCCTCCTCTCAGTTGGCAGTCAAAATTTCCCTTACCTTCATCATAGGCCCACTTTATAGAACCTACAAATTGATTTGTTATGAAATGAAGAGATGCGAGACAACTATCCTATAGAGACCAAATGATGATTTAAAATAGGTTACTGTATGGACTTCAACAATGAGAAAATCAACCAACATTAAAATTTTGCAATATTCTGAATTAGAATGACTTTGTTAATACCTCTAACCTTTAACATCCGATATTTTTATTATCTAGAGCTCTGTAAAAAAAATATTAAAAAAATATATAAAAAATGAAATTACCAAAAAATAATATGATAACAAAATTGTTTGTAAACAGAGTTCTAGATAATAAACATTGAGGGTGGTGTAAAAGGTGGGATTATTGTAATATTTTTTATGACCCCCACCTTAAAGTCTTTTCAAGATATCACATATCCTCCTCTCAGTTGGCAGTCAAAATTTCCCTTACCTTCATCATCAGCCCACTTTATAGAACCTACAAATTGATTTGTTATGAAAAGAAGAGATTTGAGACAACTATCCTACAGAGACCAAATGAAGTTGCATGTTACTGTATGGACTTCAACAATGAGAAAATCAACTAACATTAAAATTTTGCAATATTCTGAATTAGAATGACTTTATTAATACCTCTAACCTTTAACATCTGATATTTTTATTATCTAGAGCTCTGTTAAAAAATATACAAAAAAAAATATAAAAAATGAAAATACCAAAAAATTGTTTGTAAACAGAGTTCTAGATAATAAACATTGAGGGTGGTGTAAAAGGTAGGATTATTGTAATATTTTTTATGACCCCCGCTTTAAAGTCTTCTAAAGTTATTATGTTTAAAACAAACAAAAATTGGAATGGCAATTTAAAAAGTATAGTTCCTATGTGTAGGGACAGTGCCACTCTGCACGTTAAAGAACCCTTGCCACAAGTCTTTGAGGGGTCAGTAGGTGGCCTGTTGCAAGGCTCAATTTCTGTCCAACATATCCTCCTCTCAGTTGGCAGTCAAAATTTCCCTTACCTTCATCATAGGCCCACTTTATAGAACCTACAAATTAATTTGTTATGAAATGAAGAGATGCGAGACAACTATCCTATAGAGACCAAATGATGATTTAAAATAGGTTACTGTATGGACTTCAACAATGAGAAAATCAACCAACATTAAAATTTTGCAATATTCTGAATTAGAATGACTTTGTTAATACCTCTAACCTTTAACATCCGATATTTTTATTATCTAGAGCTCTGTAAAAAAAAATATCAAAAAAATATCAAAAAAGAAAATACCAAAAAATAATATATGAAAACAAAATTGTTTGTAAACAGAGTTCTAGATAATAAACATTGAGGGTGGTGTAAAAGGTGGGATTATTGTAATATTTTTTATGACCCCCACCTTAAAGTCGTCTTATGTTATCATATTTAAAGCAAACAAAAATTGGAATGGCAATTTAAAAAGTATAGTTCCTATGTGTAGGGACATTGCCACTCTGCATGTTAAAGAACCCTTGCCACAACTCTTTGTGGGGTCAGTAGGTGGCCTGTTGCAAGGCTTAATTACTGCCCAACATATCCTCCTCTCAGTTGGCAGTCAAAATTTCCCTTACCTTCATCATAGGCCCACTTTATAGAACCTACACATTGATTTGTTATGAAATGAAAAGATGCAAGACAATTAACCTACAGAGACCAAATGAAGTTGCATGATACTGTATGGACTTCAACAATGAGAAAATCAACCAACATTAAAATTTTGCAATATTCTGAATTAGAATGACTTTGTTAATACCTCTAACCTTTAACATCCGATAGTTTTATTATCTAGAGCTCTGTAAAAAAATATACAAAAAAAAATATAAAAAATGAAAATACCAAAAAATAATATGATAACAAAATTGTTTGTAAACAGAGTTCTAGATAATAAACATTGAGGGTGGTGTAAAAGGTGGGATTATTGTAATATTTTTTATGACCCCCGCCTTAAAGTCTTCTAAAGTTATGATTTTTAAAACAAACAAAAATTGGAATGGCAATTTAAAAAGTATATAGTTCCTATGTAGGGACAGTGCCACTCTGCGCGTTAAAGAACCCTTGCCACAAGTCTTTGAGGGGTCAGTAGGTGGCCTGTTGCAAGGCTTAATTTCTGTCCCAACATATCCTCCTCTCAGTTGGCAGTCAAAATTTCCCTTACCTTCATCATAGGCCCACTTTATAGAACCTACAAATTGATTTGTTATGAAATGAAAAGATGCAAGACAATTAACCTACAGAGACCAAATGAAGTTGCATGATACTGTATGGACTTCAACAATGAGAAAATCAACCAACATTAAAATTTTGCAATATTCTGAATTAGAATGACTTTGATAATACCTCCAACCTTTAATATCCGATATTTTTATTAAGTCTCCCAAACGAAGTTTGGGAAGACTTATTGTTTTTGCTCAGTTCTTATTATTATTATTATTCTTCTTCCTCTTCCTCTTCCTCTTCCGCCGCTTTTAAATTTGAACTTGTCCGCACCCGTTCTCCAAAACCGCTTGTCAGATTAACTTAGGGTTTCACAATATGTTAGACTAACATGTCTAGTGGTGCAATCAGGGTTTTGTTTGTGCAATGGGGTTTATAAAGGGGTACTTTGAGGGGCAAAAAGAAAAGAGGGTTTTACTATAGAACCCTATGGGATTTTATTTTTTAAAATTTTCAAATGATTATAAATTGAAAACCGTTTGTGATAGACACAATCTTTTTAATTGAAAATGTTCTAAATGATAAAACCCATTTAATGAAATACAGGGTTAGTCCCCAGGGGTCATCCCCACCCCCTGCCATTTAAGAAAGTTCTAATACCTTGTTAGTGGTCAAGATCCCCACCCCTAAACCATATATATTCTGGTTTGTCATGCTAAGATGGTTTGAATGATATACAGGGTTAGTCCCCATGGGTCATCCCCACCCCCTGCCATTTGAGAAAGTTCTAATATCTTGTAAATGGTCGAGATCCCCACCCCTAAACCATATATATTCTGGTTTGTCATGATAAAGCACATGAAATGAAATACAGGGTTAGTCCCCAGGGGTCACCCCCACCCCATGCCATTTAAGAAAGTTCTAATATCTTGTAAGTGGTCAAGATCCCCACACCTAAACCATATATATTCTGGTTTGTCATGCTAAGATGGTTTGAATGATATACAGGGTTAGTCCCCAGGGGTCATCCCGACCCCCTGCCATTTGAGAAAGTTCTAATATCTTGTAAATGGTCGAGATCCCCACCCCTAAACCATATATATTCTGGTTTGTCATGATAAAGCACATCAAATGAAATACAGGGTTAGTCCTCAGGGGTCACCCTCACCCCCTGCCATTTAAGAAAGTTCTAATGTGTGGTTAAGATCCCCACCCCTAAACCATATATATTCTGGTTTGTCATGCGAAGATGGTTTGAATGATATACAGGGTTAGTCCCCAGGGGTCACCCCCAGCCCCTTCTATTTAAGAAAGTTCTAATATCTTGTAAGTGGTCAAGATCCCCACCCCTAAACCATATATATTCTGGTTTGTCATACCAAGATGGTTTGAATGATATACAGGGTTAGTCCCCAGGGGTCACCCCCACCCCCTGCTATTTAAGAAAGTTCTAATATCTTGTAAGTGGTCAAGATCCCCACCCCTAAACCATATATATTCTGGTTTGTCATACCAAGATGGTTTGAATGATATACAGGGTTAGTCCCCAGGGGTCATCCCCACCTCCTGCCATTTGAGAAAGTTCTAATATCTTGTAAATGGTCGAGATCCCCACCCCTAAACCATATATATTCCTGTTCATCATGTCTCGAACATTTGAATGACGTATACAGTCAGTCCCCACTGGGTTCCCCCAACCCCCAATGTTCTAATATCTTGTTAATGGTCGAGATCCCCACCCCTAGACCATATATATTCCTGTTCGTCGTTTCTCGAACATTTGAATGATGTATAGGGTCAGTCCCCAGGGGTTCCCCCCACCCCCAATGTTCTAGTATCTTGTAAATGGTCGAGATCCCCACCCCTCAACCATATATATTCTGGTTTGTCATGCCAAGATGATTTGAATGATTTACAGGGTTAGTCCCCAGGCATCACTAATGCACTAACTTTACTGGACCAAACCAATTTTCACTGGACTTTGTCCAATGTCAGGCTACACTGGGAATTACGAATTATGGGAGCTTCGTTTGGGAGACTTCGTAACAGCATCCTGTTACAATCATTTCTTGTTATCTAGAGCTCTGTAAAAAAATATAAATAAAAAATATATAAAATGAAAATACCCAAAAATTATATGAAAACAAAATTGTTTGTAAACAGAGTTCTAGATAATAAACATTGAGGGTGGTGTAAAAGGTGGGATTATTGTAATATTTTTTATGACCCCCGCTTTAAAGTCTTCTAAAGTTATCATTTTTAAAACAAACAAAAATTGGAATGGCAATTTAAAAAGTATATAGTTCCTATGTGTAGGGACAGTGCCACTCTGCACGTTAAAGAACCCTTGCCACAAGTCTTTGAGGGGTCAGTAGGTGGCCTTGTTGCAAGGCTTAATTTCTGTCCAACATATCCTCCTCTCAGTTGGCAGTCAAAATTTCCCTTACCTTCATCATCGGCCCACTTTATAGAACCTACAAATTGATTGGTTATGAAATGAAGAGATGTGAGACATTACTATCCTACAGAGACCAAATGATGATTTAAAATAGGTTACTGTATGGACTTCAACAATGAGAAAATCAACCAACATTAAAATTTTGCAATATTCTGAATTAGAATGACTTTGTTAATACCTCTAACCTTTAACATCCGATATTTTTATTATCTAGAGCTCTGTAAAAAAAATATTAAAAAAATATATAAAAAATGAAAATACCAAAAAATAATATGATAACAAAATTGTTTGTAAACAGAGTTCTAGATAATAAACATTGAGGGTGGTGTAAAAGGTGGGATTATTGTAATATTTTTTATGACCCCCGCCTTAAAGTCTTCTAAAGTTATCATGTTTAAAACAAACAAAAATTGGAATGGCAATTTAAAAAGTATAGTTCCTATGTGTAGGGACAGTGCCACTCTGCACGTTAAAGAACCCTTGCCACAAGTCTTTGAGGGGTCAGTAGGTGGCCTGTTGCAAGGCTTAATTTCTGTCCAACATATCTCTTCTCAGTTGGCAGTCAAAATTTCCCTTACCTTCATCATCGGCCCACTTTATAGAACCTACAAATTGATTTGTTATGAAAAGAAGAGATGTGAGACATTACTATCCTACAGAGACCACATGATGTTGATGTAAAATAGGTTACTGTATGGACTTCAACAATGAGAAAATCATCCAACATTAAAATTTTGCAATATTCTGAATTAGAATGACTTTGTTAATACCTCTAACCTTTAACATCCGATAGTTTTATTATCTAGAGCTCTGTAAAAAAATATACAAAAAAAAATATAAAAAATGAAAATACCAAAAAATAATATGAAAACAAAATTGTTTGTAAACAGAGTTCTAGATAATAAACATTGAGGGTGGTGTAAAAGGTGGGATTATTGTAATATTTTTTATGACCCCCGCTTTAAAGTCTTCTAAAGTTATCATGTTTAAAACAAACAAAAATTGGAATGGCAATTTAAAAAGTATATAGTTTCTATGTGTAGGGACAGTGCCACTCTGCACGTTAAAGAACCCTTGCCACAAGTCTTTGAGGCCTGGTCAGTAGGTGGCCTGTTGCAAGGCTTAATTTCTGTCCCAACATATCCTCCTCTCAGTTGGCAGTCAAAATTTCCCTTACCTTCATCATTGGCCCACTTTATAGAACCTACAAATTGATTTGTTATGAAATGAAGAGATGTGAGACAACTATCCTACAGAGACTAAATGAAGTTGCATGTTACTGTATGGACTTCAACAATGAGAAAATCAACTAACATTAAAATTTTGCAATATTCTGAATTAGAATGACTTTATTAATACCTCTAACCTTTAACATCTGATATTTTTATTATCTAGAGCTCTGTAAAAAAAAATATCAAAAAAATATCAAAAAAGAAAATACCAAAAAATAATATATGAAAACAAAATTGTTTGTAAACAGAGTTCTAGATAATAAACATTGAGGGTGGTGTAAAAGGTGGGATTATTGTAATATTTTTTATGACCCCCGCTTTAAAGTCTTCTAAAGTTATCATGTTTAAAACAAACAAAAATTGGAATGGCAATTTAAAAAGTATAGTTCCTATGTGTAGGGACAGTGCCACTCTGCACGTTAAAGAACCCTTGCCACAAGTCTTTGAGGGGTCAGTAGGTGGCCTGTTGCAAGGCTTAATTTCTGCCCAACATGTCCTCTCAGTTGGCAGTCAAAATTTCCCTTACCTTCGTCATCGGCCCACTTTATAGAACCTACAAATTGATTTGTTATGAAAAGAAGAGATGCGAAACAACTATCCTACAGAGACCAAATGAAGTTGCATGTTACTGTATGGACTTCAACAATGAGAAAATCAACTAACATTAAAATTTTGCAATATTCTGAATTAGAATGACTTTGTTAATACCTCTAACCTTTAACATCTGATATTTTTATTATCTAGAGCTCTGTTAAAAAAATATATAAAAAATGAAAATACCAAAAAATAATATGAAAACAAAATTGTTTGTAAACAGAGTTCTAGATAATAAACATTGAGGGTGGTGTAAAAGGTGGGATTATTGTAATATTTTTTATGACCCCCGTTTTAAAGTCTTCTAAAGTTATCATGTTTAAAACAAATAAAAATTGGAATGGCAATTTAAAAAGTATAGTTCCTATGTGTAGGGACAGTGCCACTCTGCACGTTAAAGAACCCTTGCCACAAGTCTTTGAGGGGTCAGTAGGTGGCCTGTTGCAAGGCTTAATTTCTGTCCAACATATCCTCCTCTCAGTTGGCAGTAAAAATTTCCCTTACCTTCGTCATCGGCCCACTTTATAGAACCTACAAATTGATTTGTTATGAAATGAAGAGATGCGAGACAACTATCCTACAGAGACCAAATGAAGTTGCATGTTACTGTATGGACTTCAACAATGAGAAAATCAACTAACATTAAAATTTTGCAATATTCTGATTTAGAATGACTTTGCCTCTAACCTTTAAAATCTGATATTTTTATTATTTAGAGCTCTGTAAAAAAATATGAATAAAAAAAAAAATACCAAAAAATATGAAAACAAAATCGTTTGTAAACAGAGTTCTAGATAATAAACATTGAGGATGTTGTAAAAAGTAGGCATATTTAAAATTTTGTTTATTATTATGAATAGTGCACTGTATAATTTATAAAAATGTGTATTGTGAAGTCTTGGAAAATTGTGAAACTTTAGAACTGTGTTTATTTGAGAAGTCTATATTCAGTCTTCAATGATTGTCATGGCAATTGAGGACAATAAAATATAGCTCTGTGTAGAAACTGACTTTTTTATATCAAGAAAGATCCAACAAAAGTTTTCAATGATATCTAAAGAGACAAAAGACAGAAATACTAAAAGGTTTTCTATGAGATTGGTGGATTATGTACAGTCAGACAACTGGCACACTCAAGCTAAAAGTTAAATAGCTATTAAAATAAAATTATGGACTTGTATAATAACATTAATGAAGACAGATGTTCTAAAGTGAAGACATGTTCCTTCATAATGTTCTATAGTGAAGACATGTTCCTACATAATGTTCCATAGTGAAGACATGTTCCTACATAATGTTCCATAGTGAAGACATGTTCATACATATTGTTCTATAGTGAAGACATGTTCCTACATAATGTTCCATAGTGAAGACATGTTCATACATATTGTTCTATAGTGAAGACATGTTCCTACATAATGTCTTATAGTGAAGACATATTCCTACATATTGTTCTATAGTGAAGACATGTTCCTACATAATGTCTTATAGTGAAGACATATTCCTACATATTGTTCTATAGTGAAGACATGTTCCTACATAATGTCTTATAGTGCAGACATGTTCCTACATAATGTTCTATAGTGAAGACAGATGTTCTAATAGCACAAACAGATGTTCCTAAGTTGCAATGAAGTGTTCAGAAGACAGACAGAGTTTCCTTTTGCAATGAAATTATCCAGAACACATAGTTGATTAGATTTCCAGTTCATTACATATTCTGACATTTTCTCAAGAAAAACACAAGGTATTGATATAGTTCAAGTCTGTAAAAAGTGTATTATTTGCACAGAATTTAAATTTTGAATTTTAATGGCCAAACCTGTTAGTGTGTATTTATTTTATGATTTTCTTGTTCCTGATTTATGATGCTTCTTGAATATTTAAATTTATGGAAGGTAAATTTTTCGTGGCTAATATATTTTTGATAATGTTTTGTAATTTTTTCTGGTTTTCTTTTTTATTGATGAACATGAAGAATTATGAAATTTATATGACTTGATATAGATACTTAGTATCAAAAAGAAAAGTTATATCAAAACTGCCAATAAATACTTTTTGACAATTCATTTCCTTAGATGAAGACATTGATATTTCCTCAGTTGAAAACATTGAAAATGCCTATAAAAATAATAGCTTAATATTTCATTAGAATCTATTGTAAGGCAGCATGTTATTTTGATTTGTTGGTTATTTGTAAAATCAGCCAGAACTTTTTACAAAGTAAAAAAATAATAATTGAATGCTAACAAGGGGAAATAATTTATCAAATTGTGAAAGAAAAATACAAGTGAGTACTTGAAAAAAGCTTAAAAGTAACAACTGTACCAAGCATACAACTGAGAGAATTCTTTGCAAAATGAGAATCTTCTTACAATCATTTATTGAATAACACTGATGGAGGGTAATAACAGCCATAGATATATTGATAGAAAAGGAAAAAAAATGTATTTAACAATAATGTCATATTAGCTATGACATTAAGATGATGTGGTAGGATTGACAATGGAGAAATCTATATAGCAGTGACCAAATGAAATCAATTAGTTTGATTATCTTCTTCTTATAAAATTTAAAAAAAAAACATACAAAAATCTTAATTAAATAGTTTTAATTTAAATGATTATTTCATGTGAAGTATGTGACTGCCAATTCATAAATATGAATTATTTTTATATTCCAGATTTCAATGTTCAACCTGAAAGGAGAAATTCTTAAAATTTATGCTGGACATCTCATATCAAGGATCCATCACAATATTGATATTAGACTTATGAAGAATATTCTGATAAATTAATGGTAAGTGTTTACCTTAAGGAATCTGGTGGGTTGATTGTGATGCATACAATCACCTGATATGAATTAATATGGAATTGGAACCATTGTACAGCACCAGGGCTTCCAAAATTATTTTTAGCCAGCCGGACATTTTATATACTATCCCGATTTTAATCTCTAAAGACTAAATAAACAAAAGGCAATTATGGTAATCAGTTGCCGAGTTGGCCATCCCAATGATTGACATTAAAAAAAAACGATATTATTTAATTTAAACTTTCTTTGATTCAAATTCGAAGTTCTGACGTAAACTGTTAAATTGGCAGTGCATCATTCGAAGTGTGCAACATTAGCGTACTTATATCTGCCTTAAACTCTTTATTTGTGCAAAATAACGTTGTCAAACACTTTACTTTCGTTTTTAAAATACCTGATGTTGTCTTGACAATGGTAAAACATGGACCAGAGACGGATACGTAAATTCCGTGTACGTTTGCAAAGCATGAATGAGTAAGTAGCTCATTCTACGTTATTTCTTAAAGAAAATATTCGAAATAAACGTGAGATAAAGGCATCAATGACAATTTAAGTATTGTTTGAAGAAATTAGGATGCATAATTAAATTTCACACCTGCGCACATGCGCACACTTGTACTAGTTCAAACAGAGACATGTCTCTGGTTCAAACAACGTGGTTTTGACGATTTTTCATTTTCACCTTTTTAATTTTTTCATCAAATCATATTTGAAAATGTATTTCTGATAATTTAAATCTATTTGACTAAATTAATTAGATGGTGAAATATAAGAAAATAACTTTGAATAGACCGATCAATGTCCGGTTCAAAATAGTTTACCTGTCAATTGAACAGGTAAATTGCAGCTGTTCGACAACTAATTAGCCTTGATTAAAATGAAAAGGTATTAAAGTAGGGGTTGTTTTGATAGTACTTAATGATCATGTCACTTTTATGACCGGAAATGTGTGGCTGTTAAAGGCAAAAGGTTGGGTCAAAAAGATCGCTAATTATGTTAAAATGACCGTCTCATAAGAAAGCCTTGAAAACTAAAAAGTAGATGACCGTTTCGTGCTTTGCCCAGCCGGACTTTTACCGGACATTATACAAATGTCCGGAATATATGACCGTTTTGGAAGCCTTGTACAGCACTCTAATGGAAGCCAGCATATGCTTTTAATATTCAAAACAAAAACAAAATTTTTTGAAAATACCTAGTAATTTCTTGAAATTGTGTCAATCTGTTTTACAAATTTGATCGGATTAATAATAATATTCAAAACAAAAAAAAGTCAATTTTCAAAATACCTAGTAGTTTCTTGTAATTCTGTCATTCTGTTTTGCAAATTTGATCGGATTGATAAAAAAGTACTACTGGGGTAAATGTGAGATGTATTGGACCAAATAATAAGCTCAAGTTGTTTCTAATATTGTAAGGGTATTCTCAATGTTTTCAGAATACTGTAAAATTCTTAAAGGTATAATTTAAAGTATAAATAAATATTGTTCATGCAGATGATCCAAAATACTAAGACATATTTTCTGTGTTTCAGATGTACGACAAATCGTGCTACAAGTATCATACCAGCAGAATTATTTGATGGGAGTAAAACATAGGAGCAGGATCTCACCTCATACAAGGTTGGTACTCTTACTTCCTTAACGAATTAAATATCTGTCCATCTGATGTCACAATGTTCTAATAAAAAGAAGATGTGGTTTGATTGCCGATGAGACAACTCTCCACCAGAGACCAAATGATGTGGAAGTTTACAAATATATCTTTCTCGGTTGGCAATGTGACAGAGCTGCTTAAAAACTGTTTCACTCAGTCAACTTATGAACATGATGTACTGGAAATAACCAGTTGATTAAAGTAACTACTTTTATTGTTGTTCTTCATCATTACAGTTGCTGTAGAGTATTCACCTATGAACTGAAATGTTTATACTTAATAACAATGTCAAGATGCCCCCTATGGTCAACTTGAACATTATATGTGCAATTATGGTAACATGACTCCAACTGGAGGTATCAACTGTATTTTTTAATAAAGAGACCAAATTTTTATGAAAAGATTATTAGACGTCAAAAGAATGAAATAATTGTCGATGTATTTTGGTTATTTTTAGTTTTTGTCCGTATACCTCACTTTTTTGTATTCATATCTGAAATTAGAACAAAACTACGCTGTTTTGAGAATTTTTAATCTAAGCCTGCTTGGGACCTAAATCGGGGAAAATATTTCAATGGTAGTGACATAGTTTTCAGAATAGTACTGAACTGCTCTCCATTATTGCTCTAAAACCTTTTTGTTCAAAATTCAAGTGCTGGTCCCATATTCTTTTGAAATTTTTGTTATCCAATTGAATTAACTAATTAAATTGTTGTTTGTAGTGAGGAGGAACAGTTGAACTGATGAACTTTGAACTGATGAACTTGGAAACATCTGAAAGGTAATAATACATAAGAAAAACAGACCACCTAGAATAAGAAAAGAGAAAGAGTTAACTCGTAGAGTAAAGGGTAAAAACAGACCACATAGAATAAGGAAAGAGAAAGATTAACTCATAGAGTAAAGGGTAGACGAAACTATCAACACTTTGAAATAAACAAGAGCAATAATCGACATAACAGCTGCTTCATCACCATCTCAGAGGTTAGGTCTCTAACTGACTCAACTGATGAACTTATAACAAGCTTAACAGATCATCAGCATAGTTGAACAATGAACACTTCAGAGACAAAATATTCTTGGCAATGAAAATATATGACTGAAATTTCATAATTGTATATGGTCAGTGGGAGAGAGAGAAAGATGTAGAATGGTCAGAGTGGGAGAGGGAGAATACTTATGATGATGAGTGGGGAGAAATAAAGAACAATTATTGCAACTGATAAATTTGTCTTCAACCAAACTCATGGCTTGTGTTGATGTGTCTAACCTTAGACATCTGATATTTTTATTATCTAGAGCTCTGTTTAAAAAAAAAATGTAAAAAATAATATGAAAACAAATTTTAAACAGTTCTAGATAATAAACATTAAGGGTGGTGTAAAAAGTGGGCATATTTTAAATTTTCTTTTTTACACCAATGTATTTATGAAATTTAAAACTTTAAAGTCAGAATGTTTAATTGGACGTACAATTGTTTTGATTTTAGATATTTGGAGACAAAACCTATTCTTCTCCATTTATTACACTCTAAAAGTGTCATTAATTTGCAATATTCTTATTTTGATTGTCTTTGCTTATACCTCTAACCTTAGACATCCAATATTTTTATTATCTAGAGCTCTGTAAAAAAAAATGACAAAATTGTAAATAGAGTTCTAGATAATAAACATTAAGGGTGGTGTAAAAAGTGGTTATATTTTTTATATTTTGAATTCTCTCCCTCCCCAATATATTTACGAAATTAAATACAAGAGATATTTATTGGTAAATGATTTGTGTTGGATAAGTTTTATCCTTTCATTAGTGTATTTTAAAAAATGTTTTTTTCAAGCTGTACATTTTTCTTGGGTATTGAAAATGGCTTTGAAGTTAATATGTTTAATTGGAAGCAGAATTTTTTTATTATTAGATATTGGAGACAAAACCTATCTTCTCTGTATATTTCACCTTAACAGTGTCTTAGATTTGCAATGTCTTTGCTTATACCTCTAACCTTAGACATCCAATATTTTTATTATCTAGAGCTCTGTAAAAAAAAAAAAAAAAAAAAAATAATATGAAAACAAAATTGCAGAGTTCTAGATAATAAACATTAAGGGTGGTGTAAAAAGTGGGTATATTTTGAATTGTTAAATGCCCTTAAAGTTTGAATGTTTAAATGGAAGTAGAATTCTTTCAATTTTAGATGTTTTGAGATAAAACCTATCATCTCGGTATATATTTATACTGTGTATAACAGTGTCTTAAATTCTGCAATATTGTGATTTTGAATGTCTTTGTTAACTCTAACTTTTAACATTTGAATTCCATTCAGTATTAAAATAATATGTGATGCAAATTTTTCTGGTTATTCTCTGTTATTAAGGATGTTTGTATAAAATGTTTTTGTTTTTTTCAGAAATTGATAGGCTTGGAGGATTTAATCATACCATTAATACAGACAGATGCCATATGTTTGGAAGTTTCCGTCTGTCACATGTCTTGTCCTTGATTTTATTTTCATGGTTCAGCAACTGCTTAAAAAAAGATTTTTTTTTATTTGAATTTCTCAGTGATGAGTAATAGGATTTGATATGGGTCATGGCAATGTCTATATGTTCTTCAGACAGGGTTCACCTGACATCAACCTCATTGATCAAGGTGAAAGTCACATGTTTTGATCTGCTTCCCAGATACTGTAAGCAGAAGTTCAACTTTATTTGGTGTATGGAATGATTGTAAGGTGTACATGTCAGTCTGGCAGGTTTTATCTGACCTTGACTTCATTTTCTTTGTCTGAATGTTAAGTTTTCCTGGTTAATATGAAAATAAGGAGATATGGTATGATTGTCAATGAGACAACTATCAACTAAAGTTCAAATGAAGTGGGTGTAAGCATTATAGGCAATAGTACAGCCTTCAGCAGTGAGAAAAACCCAGACCGTGTAGTCTGCTTTAAAAGGCCCTGACATGAAAAATATGAAACAATTCAAACGACCTAATTTATAACAAAACTATTTGTGAAAAACAAATATGAGACATGAACCAACAACAGCAATAGAACTACAGGTTCCTGACCGTCACAGGCACTTAAAGAATGTGGCAGGGTTTAACAAGGGCTCAACCCTCCCCTAACCTGGGAAAGTCTAAGGAAGAGAGCTTAAATTGTTTTTCGTTATCTCAGTCACAGTGAGGACTTCAACACAGAGCAAACACAAATTGCCTCACTTGCACTGCAAGTTTAAGATAACACCTAGCAGCGGTTTGAGTGGAATACATTGCAAGATGCATTCCAATCGGGCCCGATTAAAAAAATGAACATACTGGAAAGTGGAAAGTAGTACATATTTAAAACAAAATAGTTCCTATGCATTGGTGTAAATTATGTATGGAATGATTGTAAGGTGTACATATCTGGCAGATTTCCTCATTTTCGTGGTTCTTTTATCGATGTCTAGTATTCATGATTTAATTATATATATTAATTGGTCTGTTTCTTGTATACTATATTTAATAAAGCAATAGGTCAACTATATTTGGTGTTTGCCCGGGTGGGGTTACTGACTATCCTTTCTGGTATAACTGTACCGACAGCACTTGTCAAATCATACCCTGTTCTAACCAGAAAACATTGAAAAATATACCCTGTTCTAAACAGAAATATTGAAAAACATACCCTGTTCTAGACACGCTCAAGAAAATGTAGAATAGATGCTGTTCTAGACCCGGGTTCTAGACTGTATCTTAAACAGTTAAATAAGCGATCCTGGTCTAGTCAAATACTTTGTTTAAAAAAAGGCCCTGTAAGACCCTGTTCTCACCAGGAGGGCATGAAAAAGTGACCCTGTTCTAACCAGCAGGACATGAAAAGGGACCCTGTTCTAACCAGCAGGACATGAAAAGCGACCCTGTTCTTACCAGCAGGACATGAAAAGGGACCCTGATCTAACCAGCAGGACATGAAAAGCGACCCTGTTCTAACCAGCAGGACATGAAAAGGGACCCTGTTCTAACCAACAGGGCATCGATGAAAAAGCGACCCTGTTTTGCTCGATCCACACTCGTACCACTAAAAAATATAGGAAGTAACACTCCCCCCCCGGGTGTTTGTAATGATTGTAAGGTGTCTTTCTGGCTTGGTTTATCTGAACATGACCCAAAACTATCAGCATAAAATAAATTATAAATAGTATTTTTAAAGCAGGCCAGACATTTCAGATGTTCGCTCCTCTTGTTTTTGAATTTTTGTCAGATATTCGGAATCCTCTGGTTTTATCCATGTAGTGCCATTAAAACATTTTGCCCACTAAGCCCTACTTTTCTTTTCATAATTTTATAACATATAGTTTAAAAAGCCATATTTGAAAATCTTGTAAAATCCTTGTTATTTTCTCAAAGTTTTTATGTAAAACAATTCAAACGAGAAAACTAACGGCCTAATTTATGTACAAAAAATGAACGAATAACAAATATGTAACATATAAACAAACGACAACCACTGAATTACAGGCTCCTGATTTGGGACAGGCACATACATACAGAATGTGGCGGGGTTAAACATGTTAGCGGGATCCCAGCCCTCGACCCCCTAACCTGGGACAGTGGTATAACTGTACAATATAAGAATGAACTATAAAAATCAGTTGAAAGAGGCTTAACTCATCAGATGGATAAAATACAAATACAATGGACGTGGCCGGGTAGTTGTACATCCAAACAACAAAAAGACACTAAGTACAGATCTGAGAGTACTCGCAGTTTACATGTATTAGTTAGTGATTAGGTCAGTTTATGGGGAACCACTAGTGGTAGGCCAATGATATTTGGTATGCAGTTGAATTAGCATTGGCACATCTCATTACAATGGAGATAATTTGGCCCCACCCCCTCAGTCAAGGTCTATTGACTTTGAAACTTTGCTTAGTTTAAATGTATTAGTTTGTGATTAGGTCAGTTTATGGGGAACCACTAGTGGTAGGTCAATGATATTTGGTATGCAGTTGTATAAGCATTGGCATATCTCATTTCTATAGAGAATTTTTGGCCCCACCCCCTCATTCATGGTCTATTGACTTTGAAACTTTTGCTTAGTTTTCATGTATTAGTTTGTGATTAGGTCAGTTTAAGGGGAACTGTTAGTGGTAGGTCAGTGATAATTGGTATGCAGTTGTATAAGCATTAGCACATCTCATTTCCATGGAGAATATTTGGTCTTTACCCCTCAGTCATGGTTTTATTGACTGTAAACTTTTGCTTAGTTTACAAGTTACTGTTTGTGTTTAGGTTTGTTTAAAGGGAACGACTTGTGAAAAGTCAATGGTATTTGGTTTTCAGCTGTATTAGCATTGGCACATCTCATTTCCATGGAGATTGTTTAGCCCTGTACCTTCAGTCATGGTTCATTGACTGAATATTTGCATAACTTACATGTTAAAGTATTGCTATTTTAATTTCAACATTTGCATTATCAAAATAACAGATAGGCGAGACATATCTCTGTGTTAACAGTTTATTTGTTGAAACTACAGTAGATTGAAATAGCAAAAAATACAATCAGGATTATTTTTTTCCAATCAGTTGACATGGCCAAAATTAGCATTCAACTGTATTAAGGACTTAATTGCCCAGAAACAATCATAATTATTCTTATTGCAAAATATTCAATTTTATGCAAAAATTCTATTGGAGCGATACAGAACCCTTTTAAGACACAAATAGGTCAGTATCTCAATTATAATGAATAATAGGTCAACTATGTATGTAAGCCAACATGATGGCTAAAAATGAATGTTTAAGAGTGTATTGCCATAACTTAATTACTGGGTAAAATGACCTGTTTTTGCAATTTTTTTTCTTTTAAATATAAAATAAGGACCTTTGGTATATGACAGCCAATGAGACCACTATCCAACAAAGGAAATGTCAATGTTAAAAGGATGCATACAAATATAGAATATCATACAGCACAGGGATCTCTCAACCAGTGGCGGATCCAGAAAAAATTTCAAAAGGGGGGGGGCCACTGACTGCTAAAGAGGGGGCCCGCTCCACTCATTCCCTACATAATCAACCAAATTTTCCCAAAAAAAGGGGGGGGGGAAAGGGGCTTCCTGGGCCCCCTCTTAATCCGCCTCTGTCAACATATAAACTTTGGTACAGCGTTTGGCTGGGGTTTAAAAACCATCCCCCATTATATTGATATACCTATACATATATTTCATAAGACAATTCAACCCATTTTTAATATTTCCCAGCTATCTAAATACAATCTGTGACATGTTATTTAGATGTTATCCACATGGAACCATTAATTCACATTTATAAACCATGTACATATAAATTTCTAACCATTGATATATTTAACCTATCTGAAATTACACCCCCATTGATATTTTTGACATTCAAAAAAATGAATTCAATCGGCATTGTCTCTGCATATATGTAACCTTCATATAGGAAGACCCCCCCCCCCCCCCTCCAATACCTCACAGCCTTAAAATATGAGAAAAAATTCATACCAAATATAGTAAGCTGTATTTTTACAGCCAGAGAAAAAAAACTTGAAAAAATACATCAGAGAAAACTAATGACTTGATTGAAGCTAATGATCGACATTAAAAAAATATTATGGCAACCAACAATTATAGACTACTAAGATCTACTAAGGCTTTGGACAAACAACTAAAGAATGTGGCAGTAATAAACTCTTTGTCTCATGGGCAATTCTACCATTTCTCCTTATTTGTATATTGTGAGAACTTTATCCTAAACAGTGGTGTAACAGCACAACATAAAAAAACTAAAAGTCAGATGGTTGACTAAATTAACCGAGCTTGATTCATTATGCATAAAATCTTGAAACCTATAAAGATGGTGGCTGGGTTTCGAAGGTCTATCTAACAGTCCAATATTTATGTATAAGTTATGTAACCAGTCATTCATGTACAAAATGTGGGTCATAGTGTCAAATTTTAATATAGACCTTCAATATTATTCAAGAATTGTCCCCTGACATCACATTTGACCTTTACCAACAGCTCCTTAGATCAGGACAATATATAGACAAAACTGAACCTGTTATTCAAACATAATTGTTGTTCAAGTAGATTCGATTTTAACATCAAACCTACTGAGTTACTCAGTTGGGGATCCAGGATTTCAAAAACAGGGGGGATCGAATCATCCATCTGCATTAACCATACATATAGCTCCATAAAAGGAGGGAGCAGGCCCCATGGTCCCTCTTAATCCATTTCTGTTACTACACTTTGGTAAGTTTTAAAGGTTTGTGCACTTAAGTTAGTTCTCTTAATGCCTTGCATTTTTTTTTAGGTATGAATTTTAACTATAAAACTATCC